CCCCACGGCCGACTGAGGGCCAGCTCCCGGGACCCACCCGTGTTCTTCCGTAGGTGGGACCCCACCTGCCGGCCTGCCGCTCCCCTGGGCCCCGGGGGTGGGCCAGGCCTCCTCCACCCCCAGGCTCCGCTGGAAGGCCTCTTTGGGGTAGGGCGCGATGAAGGGGTACATACAGGAGACTTTTAGGCAAGAACAGATCCGTTTTTCTGCTTTAGTTTTTCCTTTTAACCATGCCTCTTTTTTTTTTTTTTACCTTTTAACTAGATGTCGGTGCCCGAGTCATTGCCACACTTATTCCCAAGGTAAGACTTAAATTGTGTCTCCAGAATAATTCTGTAGGAGACCATGGCCTTGTAGAGCCTTACGTATCGGTGTAACCTGGACAGAGGGTGCAGGTAACGGGTAGGAAAGAGAACAGTTTAAAGGGTAAGGTAAGCAGTCTGTTATTTTGCAACTGTACAATGATAGTGGTTATTGTTGGAGAGATTCACTGTTTCCATGTAAGCCACAACTAATGCATCCTGTCCCTCCCCTTACCATGAGACAAGTTGATAAGAAATTTGCTCTGGCTGCTACTACCGCTGTCATCACCTGAGCCATCTCAACTTTAGATGTGCTTTTGAGGGGAAAAACACACGTCTGTTACATTAGAAAAGAAACGGGAAGCAATATGGATGAAAAGGAGTTATTCACAAAGGTCTGCTTTGGCTTGGGGAATGTAATCTCCGTAGGCTTTTTATACAGTCAGTCCCGAGAACACAGCTCGCTTAGGCCAGGGTTGTGGAGTAAGAGGAGAGCTACGCCGAGTGAGCAAGTCACTCTGGGAGGAATTTCTGTTTGTATTGACTGTAGGGAGGCTATGGGAATAGCTATCTGTGTGCTGGTCAATCTCCAGATCCAATAAAAATTAGTATTTTGGATCATAATTTCAGCAATGTGTAATTCTCAGTGGTTTGGTTTCACGTGTTTTACTTAAGACACTTTTTAAAGAATTACCATTACCATTTTACATATGGAAAAGCTATATATATGTTCAGATATTTGTTTTGCCCGAGACCATTATACAGCAAGACAATAACGCAGCTGAGAAATAGAATCTCATTCTTCTGCTTGTCTGCTTGATGACCTGCTCAGTCAATTCAAACTAAGCCCTTGCTAAATTGAAGTCTTAGTTAGGAACCCCCTCTGTAAGTTTTAGGCAGCAATTGAGTCTATAATGTAGCAAGACGGTGTCAGTTCAGTAAGTGTCTAAATAGTGGGAATTGATTTAACAGTGACTGTAGCAGGAAAAAAATGTTCATTGTGTTTCTTGGCAGTGTTCGAGGAAATAGTGCAATTTTTGAACTCAGTAAAATTCTTCCTGAAAGTTAAGTATGGCTCAAGAATGTAACAGCAGGGCATCTATTACACTATCGGAAAGCAAGAGCGTAAATGGCTTGGACGTGTTCTTAGCCTGTCAAATTAATGACTGAGAGTACAGCAGACTCAAACTCCAGGAGAGGTCAAACACATACAGCCTGGCAAGAGATGGCAATGAAAGAGCTGATAGCAGCTGGCCTGGGCTTGAATAGAAAGTGCATAAAGGATTTTAATATATCTATCTGTTACTGTTGTGGGTCAGTGCTTCAGTGCACCCCAGAGTGTCTGTAAGACTCATTATCATGGCTTCACTCATTGGATCTGAATCCAAATCATGTATTTTCAATTAGCAGACAGAAGGCATGACTTCAGCAGGAAGAACAGAATGCCTCATCTGATCTTTTCTTGGAGAAGAATGGGCTGTTTCAGTTGATGCAGTTTGCTTCACTTTGTGGCAAAATCAGGATATGCAAGAAATGGAGAGTTTTGTGGAAATCCATGCAAGAATGACATGGCAGAGAGAGACTGAAATACTATCCTTATAAATATCTTCTCTCTTCTACTAAATAAAGTTGATAGTGACACACCAGTTCTTATTAAAATTCTGTTTATTAGCAATGCATGCAGTTTCTTAATTTTCAAGCACGCAATTCAGTTTCACCTGCAAGTTCAGGACTAGGCAGAAGTAAAAAGAAGTGTAAACACCTGCCAGTATTACTCTCACATGTACAAAAGATGTTCTCTATCCGGGTACGTATGGAGGATGTCTCATGGATTTGTCTTAAAAGTTGTTCTGAAGGTTGTCATGTAGCCCCTACACGTTCCTAACACCTCTCAACCTGTATGTAGCAGCCTGTATGCTCTGCAGATACTCAGTTCTATGTACTTATTGTGTACTGTTGTGGTCTTTGCAGACTGCGAACAAATTCTCATGCAAACTTCCTGTTAACTTACTCAGTTTTTATAGGAAAGAATTAATTCTTGAAGGAAGGAAAAAACACCCTTGCTTTGCTGAATTGTATGAATCAAATTAAGTAATTGGATCATTTAATCTCTCAAACAACAAGGGACGAAATGGGTAACTGTTACCCAGACAAGCCAAGATGACCTGTGCAAATGTATTAGTGATTTTTAAAAGCAAAAGAATCTGTCAGCTTTAGTATTGAGATACAGATTGAAGTCACTTTTTGTTCCCTAATTTTACTGTTTCATTTCCATTCCAGTCCCTCAACGGCCTACCCTGGGAAACAGACTATGTCAAACAACAAGGGACAAAATGGGTAACTGTTACCCAGACAAGCCAAGATGACCTGTGCAAATGTATTAGTGATTTTTAAAAGCAAAAGAATCTGTCAGCTTTAGTATTGAGATACAGATTGAAGTCACTTTTTGTTCCCTAATTTTACTGTTTCATTTCCATTCCAGTCCCTCAACGGCCTACCCTGGGAAATACAGACTATGCATTTGAGATAGATTTAATAATAAAATATATTTGATTTAAAAGTAGTATTTTGTATACTTCCAAATATGGCATTTAACAAACATTTACGTTAGTAAATATTTATATTTTACTTTGACTGGTTGGTACTAGGTGCCATTTCTCCATTTTTCCAGAAAAAATATGTTCTTTTTTTTTGTAGATGGCCATTTCAAACATCCGATATGGAGAAGGAGTTACTAAAGAGATTGGCATGGTAAGCTTCCGTAGTATAAGTCCATCACTGGTGAAAAGTTATTTTTTAAAGGGCTGGTGGTGCTATCAATCCATTTTATAAGGGAAAGCTTATATATGGTGTGTCTGAATCTCCACTGCTTTGCAGTACGTGTAGTCACATATACCAGTGTAAAAATGTCAGAAGATACTGTTGGGTAAAGAACAGAAGCATGTTACATCAATGTTGCTGTGGTGTGAGTACATGAAATGCAGCTTGGTGGATAATCGGATTGTTGATGATTTGCCAGGATTATGCAACAATATTTTTCTCTGACAGGGAATTTAATTCAAAAAGTTTTGAATCCTGGTGACTCACCAGGATTTTCTCAAGATCACTTTCGTCTCTTGTAGTGCTCATTAAAACGAATCAGAGACTTTCCATTAAATTAGGTGGGTATTCGTTCAGCTCTGAGTTTGCACTGTGAAAGTGTAGAATTTTTCTTTCAGCACTGTGAGATGATTCACCCGAGTATATTGTTCCAGGTTGCCTTTATCATTGGGTTTTTTCATCTATCATTTTTTCCTCTCTTCTTGGCATTTATGGCATTAACAGTTCTTTTTATTTGCAAATTTGTAAAGTAAATTAATAGTCAGATAGTAAATGAAGTTAGATCGTCTGTCTTTAAACAGCATTAGGATTATTTAGAACTGCATGTATTTTATAGCTATTGTGACAATTTAGCAAAGGTTAGGATGTAGTAGTATTTTTCTTCTTTTTGCCACCTTATTTTGATTTTTCATCAATAAATTAATATTCAATATTAAATTTTCAAGATTGTAATGCTGTACTTTGGTAGGCAGTTAGGGGAGACCTAACCTGTGGAAAAGCCTTTTTATGTCACAGGAATTGTGGGGGGAAAAAATATTTTACATTTTACTGTAGTCTTAAGTGGTTCACGTGGTTTTCACTTGTTCAACATCTTTATCATTAGTTTTCTTCTACCATAAGACTTCAGCTATATAAGTTTGGCAGCTTTATACTTTATGCTGTTTTCTGCATCCTACATGTATGTGGTTAATCCTCTTTTTCTTTAGCTGATACTGTTTCAAAACTTTTACAATAACCAACTATTTTTAGGTTGGGGTTTTTCTTATTATTAAATGGTTCAGTTGATGTCAATTAGTATTTAAATAGTTCAGTATATGATTTTATACCAGTTGTTTGGTTTTTAATTTCATTGTTATTATAGGACCTACGGAATCTTGGTGCTAGAAGAGTTTGTTTGATGACAGATAAAAACCTCTCCCAACTCCCTCCTGTAAATGCAGTATTGAATTCCTTGGCAAAATATGGTATAAACTTTCAGATGTATGATAATGTCCGGGTGGAGCCAACAGACCAAAGGTACTAATTCTGACAGTGCGCTTCTCAAAGTAGTGCCTAGGCTCTTACAGCATGCCACACAGCTGTTTAAACACCTCCTTGTGACCTGTACACTGGTCTTAATAGTTAGTTTCTCTATGTGCTGCTTTTCTCCTGACTAATTGGAAAGCTTTTCTTGTTTTCCAAGTTTCCTGGACGCCATTAAATTTGCTAAAAAGGCAGAGTTTGATGCCTATGTTGCTGTTGGAGGTGGGTCTGTAATAGATACCTGTAAAGCTGCCAACCTGTATGCGTCCAGCCCTACATCGGACTTCTTGGATTACGTCAATGCTCCTATTGGGAAAGGAAAGCCTGTCACTGTGCCCCTCAAGCCACTCATTGCAGGTAAAGCAGCAGGGGGGGTATGTGGAGAGTGAGGGCTAGGAGAAGGGGAGTCATTCTACACTCTGTATGATATTTGTTGAAATCAGTTTACCATGACAGTTTCACCTTCCTGTGGGCTTTCTTCTCCTCTAGTTGTATTCAGCAGCAACTTTGCTGTTTACTTCAGTGGAAGTAAAATCACAGTTTTTGTCATTAGTTTGTCTTGTTTAGCTGAGTTTGACTCCTTTTGCTGAGAAAAGAGATCAAAGTGGCAGTTTCTCTTTGACCTATTGGCTTCGGATCAGGGATACCTCTGAGATTTCCTGGATCCTGTATTTTTGGTGGCGTAACTATTGTGGATTTATTTATTTATTTTGCAATATTATGTATTACTTATTATTTGTTGTTATC